ATTATGTTTGTTAACCTAAGAGATAGTGGTTAATTGGGCAACTGCTCTCAAATTCACAATAAAAGATTGTGAGTCACATTCCCCAAGACAAATAATATAATGGGAAAATGTTCCATGAGACACCACAATGGCCAACCCAGCATTCTGTAGCATCAATATAAATCATAGAAAATCAATCAACTCGGCAACAACAATCACATTGTGGCGTACCACAGTTTGAGTAGAGCAAAATCCCCAAATTGGATTAATTTAACTAAAGTGCTTTGCATTAAAAACCTAATAAGCATGAGCACAACTGACATCCAGCTGTCTCCAAAAAGTAAACGAAATGAAGGGTACTACAGTCTGCTCGATACAAAGGTGGGAGCTACATCAACATTTTTAATCAAAACACATAAACAACTGCAATACAATAATCCGATAGGGCAAAACCAGAGCCCAACTCTTCATTTTCTTCAGCACAAACACCAATTAAATATGGTTTCACATTGAAGACTCACAATTCCAAGAATAACTCTATTAAAGTGGGCGTGAAATGTTTAATTCAGATGAACCGCTGCAGGAAAGTACAGCAGTGAAATCCTCTGGAGGATCACACTGCCTGCTGACTCACTGAGAAATGTCTCTGCACTCACTTCTACCGACGACATATTAACAACAGCTCTGTGGGCCACAGCAAACACAACTTTGTCTAATTCTGACATACAAGGAGAGGCGTCTGCAAAGTGAGAGTATCCTCTGCAGAACACCCAGACTGCCATCAGTCAGTTTTTACATACTCACTGATCATATAAGAAACAAATCTGAACATGGAAAATGTGATATTTTAAAACGAGGTAATTTACAGGGCAGTTTACACAATTAGTTATCTACTAATTTAACCAGTAAATAAACACTAGACATCGAGCAGCTTTTAAAAACCATGAGCACAAGCATCAGTAGGAAGGATGTTGTAGACCAGGGTTGCGGTCAAAGAGTCCATTTAGCTTAGGAACCTTCCTAACGGAGTGAAATGACCCGGAAGTCCCTCAGTGGCAGCCATGATAAGTGCCGTTCGAATTCTCTAGATAATAGTAGGAGGTTTCAAACTTCGTTTATAACCTCCTTTAGCTTAGGAACCACTGGACCTTCCTTTAGGAAAGGAGAGGAGAAAATGCTGCCCCACAATGCCTTGCGGCCGCAGCATTTGCGTCACACAAAAGTCGGCCGTTCACGGAAACAACCGATTATGACCGAGAAATGATATCATGAAAGTTACGGTGCTTGTTAAGCATTTTAAAACGTATGTGGTAAGTAGCCAAAGTGCTTTGTTTTGAACGTTCATCAGTATTATAATCAAAAAGAGAAATATGAACGTTAGTTTTTACTGAAATGATCAAATAAAGTCAACATTTCACAGTCTTTACTGAACTGTGTGGGGTTTGTTCAACTTTTAAAAGATGTTTGAATGGTGATATACACAGTGATAGATGTTAAGGACTAACGTTTATAATAAATACATTTGTATTTATTTTAAGATCTTTTCATACAATCATACGTATTGGGATCATTTGTATTAATGTGGACCGGAGGGAGCGGGTGACGAGCATAAGTTTCACTTTCCTTTTTTATTTCAATTCCATACGTTCATAAAGCATAAAACAACAGCATCAGAGCACGGTGCAGAGTCTCTAGATGAGTTTACAGTACTCCCTCGTTCTTATTATACATCCATGTTGTAGTCCGCTGTATAGAAAACTGTAGTTTCCATAGTTTCCCCACAGCAGCAGACGCACATTTGTGACGTCCGCTGGCGCATCATAAACACGTCGGATAGTGAAAGTGCAGTCGGATTCTCTAGAGCCCTCTTCTCCGAAGTCCTTTTGAATTCTCCTATCCACTATTCCTTAACCCCGTGACGTTTCACACAGAGGTCAAGGGATAGACGTTAGGAGCTGATTTTTGGACTATTCGACCGCAACCCAGGGGTTTTCAAAGTGTGGGAAGGTGAGCCTCCCCTCAGAGAACATAACAGCCGTGCCCCCCCTCCCAATTATTATTGCTATTATTATTATTATTATTGTTGTTGTTGCTATAATGCAGGGGTATTCAATTACATTTCAAAGAGGTCCAGCAAGAGAACACGTTTCTCTCGTCTCTGTTTGAATCTATCGTGCTGACTCACTGACTGCACCGATTTGATTGGCTGAGTAGCGTCACCTCCTCAAAACATTAAACAACTTTTTTTTAAACTTTTTATCTTTTAAACATATTTAACATTTTCAACATCGTGGATAAATCCTTATATGCTCCCGGCAACACACTGAACGTCAACTTTGCCTCCTTATTACACTCACCCCTACTTTAGTGGGAACAATGAGTCTGCTTCTTTGATGCGCACAGGCGGATGATGCGGAGATGCAATGTAGACAGGAATAAACACATTTATCCGGTCAAAGATATCGGACAGATAGTCCAACATTGCAACCCAGTTCATGTCATCCATGTGCTTGACCAGTGGGGAGTTGATTTCTGCGAGGAAGTTCAAATCACACAAGCGAGTGAGGACCTTGCCCCGGGACAGCCACCGGACCTCAGAGTGCAGCAGCAGCTGTGGTGGAAGTGAGCGCTCATCTCATTGCAGAGGATGGAGAAGAGACGGGCATTCATGGCGCATACAGTTAGCTGACGTTAACTAGCTAGGTTTCACCGTTTCTCGTTATTTTTTTCTCACGCTGCGCCTCCCCTGAAGCTCTCTTGTTCCCCCCCGGGGAGGCACGCCTCACACTTTGAAAACTCCTGTTGTAGACAATCTAAAAAGGGACCAGCAGCTAGCAGGAGTGCATGTGTTTGTAGTATAAACTCATAAATAGCAGCACATTTAACTCACCCTGCTATCTTGTTGCGCAGAGGTTTGCTGGGGATGATGGCGATCTCCTCACACACCCTCTTGTTTGTGTGGAAGTCATTGCCCAGGCGTGTGTAGTATTTCTCGATGATGACCCTGGAAGCCTTCTTGACTGTCTTTGTCCTGACTCGCCCCTGAAGAGAAAACAGACGTTTAGAGTTCATACATCTGAGAAATACAGTAATAAAACATAGCAGATGGATGTATACAGTGCAGGGATACAACTTGTTGCATTGGAATGCATGGTAGTGATCACACTGGGAATATTTTTCAGCTATTTTAGAAATCAAAAAGCTCAACTCATGTCATGTCCCAACAAAGCAAAACTATTCCCAAAACACCTTTGGCAGGGATATATTGACTCATATTAGGCATATAGTTTCCTCACATTAAATCCCTTCAGAGGCACTGACACTCAGGGTGCTCTTTTTAATAAACTCACAATGTAAGTTTAAATCCGTTAAAAGCATATTATTAGTACTGAATATGAAGAAATTGCAACGCTTTGTTGACTTTGACAATATAAAAATAAATCTACATCACTGCTTTCTGACCAGAAAACCATGACTCCAACAAACCAAGATAAATGGTATATGGAAAGAGAGTTAAGAGCAGGAACATTTCCATCATACATATTAAATTATTGTAATAATTGTCCTGGATTTTGAATCCACTCCCGTTTTTATAGCAATAATTACATATATTTCTCTAACGAAACGGCTTTCCTCCGTTACTAGTTACAACAACGTCAAGTGGTATTTAAAGCCCAGAGAATAACATCATCTGAACAAAGGCGGAACTTTTACTAACACTAAATACTTCAGCACCAGTGATAGTAACCATAATATAAATAGTTGAGCATCGCTAATATTCTGGTCATGTTTATGACCGCTTGTCTGCCTGTCAGCTAGTAACTTGCGAACATTTAGCCCGTGTTTTCATATTTAATGCCAAAGAAGTGCATCCAAATCCAGCTTTTAGAAATAATAGTGCAGTTTGTGTGCAAAGTGATGCTTGTAACAGCTCTAAGAGCGGACAAATGGTGAGGATTGAAGAGGATTGTGAGGGCTGCTGAGGTGAAATGCTCTCTGTGTTACCCACCATGTTGACGGACCGGTGGAAGAGAGGCTCTGGATGTTCATACAGGAAGTTTATAGTTTCAGCCCGCCGCTCAGCACCACCGCGCGGCCAACAGCGACCACTAGCGGCGGGGGGTCAGCAGCGAACATACAACAAATACATATATATTAACCATATTAACACGTTTCCTTGTTACTTTGTCAATAACAGATATGAAGAAATGTCAGAATGAAAAGAAAATCTTTTGCCATAATTCTTATTTTACTTAAATAAATGAACACATGCAATGCAATATATGTAATCATATCATATTTATGGTGGTGGATGCTGTTATAATAGTGTGTATCCTATGACTTTTTCACAAGCTCAACTTTGGCTCTATTAACGTCACCTCTATGTCACATCACTTGAGAAAGTGCTGCTATCAGTTTCAGTACATCCTGGTCATGGTTACTGGATGTGCACAGCCTTGTCATTTTGAGTTTGATTGCTTTTGAGAAAATAAAGTGACATTTTAGTTTGCATATTTTATCTAATTATGTATGTTCCTTTGCCGCTGCGATCCCAGCATTCCTCTTAAGATCATCTTGGCTTTGAAAGAAAAATCTCGAATTTACTGAATGCAACTTGTCATAGTGACTTTTAATTTAGAGCCGTACAACATCTTACCATTGACACTGACAACTTATTTAGCTAACCTGTCCTGTTTCTTGTACACCTAACTATTAAGCAATTGTCTTCATTTACAGTCTAAACATAAGCATCTGAGCATTTGTTGTACACTTCAAGTTATTAACTGTCATATGTTATGTTGTTAAATTCCTGAAAATATGGAAGAGAAAACAATCTGGCAATAATCAGGTTATCAAATCAACATATTTAAAAATGACCCTGCAAATCACCTCCCCTCCCAAATGTATATTTCTGCACCCACCCACTGAATTCATTATGTGTATATTTGCAATTTCATTAAAGTCAGATTACCATATTTGGAGCAATTTAATACAAAATCATTTGACAAAAGACGTTCCCACAAGGTGGAGAGATCTTTTATTTGTACATAAAAAAGGGTGCAAACTGGAGTTTCCCTTTAGGTATGGAGGGAATAAAAAGTGATTTTATAGGATTCACGTGTGACACACATTCTTTTATATGAATCCAAGGAGAAAACTAAAAAACAAAAGGCATCTTAGTTAAAAAAGGACCTTTACCTTTCTGCAAATTAAAAGTATGAAACAATAAAAAGAAGAAATGTGGGTCCTTCATTCTTGAAGCCCTTAACAAACTCATTCAAATACATTTTGAAGTGACATTCATATTTCAACACAATAATATTTATTTACAGTTTTAAGATTTCTCTTAATCATAGCTCTGCAAGAAAAATGCTGAGGGGAGGATAAACTCTTGAAGCTGTACAATTTGATTTTCCACAGTCTGAGAGAAAAAAATAATCAAAGAATACGTGAATCCCAACAAAAAGAACAAAGAGTATAATTGTGAACTCTGTACAATTTACAATTTTCAAATAATCATCACAATATTGCAATAAATGTTACCCTAAACCTCTCCCTCAAAGAAAAATAATACAGTAAATCCAAGACAATCCTAAAGTACAGCAACAAGGAAAAAGTGCCAGAGAACCCATAAAGACCGAAGCCATTCATTCACACGTTGTCTGTCCATTGCGTTGATTTACACAGCAGAGCCATCAACACAAGTCCGATTGAAGTGAATACCAGAAATAATGAGAAATGAAATGGAATGTGCTGTGAGAAGACATAAATGTTATTTATATTACATGAGGACTGGAAGCCATAACGTCTCACTGACCCAACAGTATACGAGCCCGACAGGTGAGAAACTCAAGACAGTACGCTCGCTGTCGTCTCCAGGTAAGCCATGCAGATACAAAACACACAGTGTACTCCTATATCGCTCTGTACGAGGCCCAGAGAGAGAAAAGTAAATACATCAGAGTAATATTTCTATATCTACCATTTCAGCCAGGACCCACAGTTTAAGGAAGAAGCAGACGCTGCGAAGACGACCGGTCACAAATCCAACTCTGAAATAATAAACTTGGTCGACAAAATGCTGTTGGTTTCAACATTAAGAGAGAGAAACCAACAGAAGCTAATCATAAAACACGTTTTCCAACACTCTTTAACAACCGTTAAAACACTTCCTGGTACTGAATTGAGCCACGTTGCTCTGGGATTTTTCCAAATGACAGTGAACACGTCAAGGACACAAGGTGGAGTGCGATGGTCAAAAAAACATTTTCCTGGCACGGGCAAAATTGGCATGGGCCAGTAGTAGTCTCAGAATGGCACTCGGGGAATTCAGGGGGAACGTCGAAGGCTATTATAGTCTTGATATCCATCTCACTACACAGAAATACTTCCAACTTTTCACAGGTAGCTGGAGTGAAACAGTCCGGGTGTGCTGATGCCTTGTGGGGAGAGTCACAGGCAGCAGATGTTACATGTGTTGGAACAAATAAAGGATTTTAATGGATCGGAATACATTATGGTTAATATTTCACAGAAACAAAAGTGTGATTTTAACCTCCATCCAACTCCTCTGGGTAAAACATGAACCCAACACTGGCACAGGACTCCACAGTCTGACACCTGTCCAACACACTCACGAGGCACTAAAGACATCTCAAGGAGATGAATACCTGTCATTCAAATAGCCCATTTTCCCATCATTCCCCTCAAATCCCCTAAAAATGTATGGATTTACTATGAAAATGACCAAGAAAATGCAAAAAACAAACATAAAAGGTCCCGTAGATTTTCATATTCAAGTACTTTCAATAACACAATAACTTAGACCCCGGAGTAACTGACATATCAGGGCTGAGAATAAACCAAAAGCTATACAGTGTAAATACACGCAACAAGCAGGTTTACATACTGATTCATTGAGTCTGCAACATCTACAACATTGTATTTCCAAAGATGATGGAGCAGGTCCACAAAACACCAAATCTAGCACTCCGCTAGGATCAGACTCATATAGGACGTGTGTGAGAGAGTGTGTGTGTGTGTGTGTGCATGCGTGTGTGCAGAGAGGAAGTAGGAAGGTGTCATGGCACAACAAAGGAGTGGGTGGGGATAAAAGTCCATTGAAAGTGTATTCCCTGCACCCTATAAAGGAAAGCCTAGCACGCATAGGCAGCTACAATTAAAGTAATAAGCACGTTAAAGTTCAGTATTAAGAAGGCAGGGTCTCGTCAGGGAAAGCCGAGTCAACAAATGTAGTGCAGTCATGGTCTCAAGCTTTTTTTTTTAACCCTCTCTTTCCCCATGGCTATTTGGAATGAAAAAAAAATAATTGCATTCAACAAATTCACATTAGCAAGATATCAAATACAAAAATAAAACACCTATGTACGGTAATTCACTCTCTGTTAGGAGGATAGGCAAGGTGACATATCGAGGATATTGTTTCAAGGCAGTCCTCCATGACACTAAATAAAAAATAAAAATGGTATGGACATGTTATTTTATCGCCCCCGCTGACAGTGGAGAGGAACCGGGGGTTCAGCAGAGTCGCCCAAACTTAAAACATGGCTTTGCAGCACAGGGGTCTTCAGACTGGGGGCAGGGACGACTTAATACAGATTATTACACCAAACCTTCCATTTGGCATTGCTCTCCCTTGGGAATACATCCTACGTGTTGCAAGGGAATTAATTAACTACTCCGATACTAGTTGGCGAACTTTGGGCTTTACTATACAAGAGACCCCAAAAAGATGCACTCCAGGTCACACAACCATCATGCTGTACTCTTTCTCCACCTGGTGATGTGATGTGGACAGGTTGGTGGGGGGGGGGGGGGGGTTAAGGCATTGGACAGTAGCGTGGAGCGGCTGTGAATCGATCTCCAATGCACATCACGCCAGTTTCTCTTGTCACTCCAAAGCAACATCCCCCAGTGTCTTCCGGTGAGGAGTCAATTTTGACCATCACATTATTAAGATTAACAACATTTAAGACCCTCCCCCTCTAATCCACTTAGTTTTGGTCAAACTTTTTTCCTTTTTTTTTTTTAAAACATTGGTCTTAACTTCTAAATTGCAATTTCCTTCCCATGCGCATGACAGATTGTATAAATGCTCCAAAGTCATTTGCATTTCTGTCCATACATTCAGTGTGTATGTTTTTAGATTTAGTAAGAAAACAGGTGGCAACCAAGAGTTAAATAGCGTAAATAGCACATTGTTTTTATGCCCCGTGAACAAGTGTCAGGTCGCTGCTCGTTATCACAAAGCCGACAGGAGCAAGACGGCATGCGAGTCGAAAGAGACTGTAGTGTGTTTTTAGCGGCGTGGTTAAGGAGAGTGCTTTAACCAAGCAAGGTGAGCAGAAGTCCTTCTCAGAGACCACAGTGCAGGAGGCGTCTCTGGGCTTCTGTCCTCTCAGGCCCCGGGTCCCAGTGCCAAGGTTGACCTCTTTGGAGGAAAAAAAGTGCAGGGGCCAAATGGCTGACTGGTGCTCTTTCTGCCTGAAGATAGGCAGTTACACTCTTGGCTCCTTGTGTGTTCAGGTTTACATTCAGTCCCACGTCAGGAATGACCAAAAAGGGCATCGAGTCAAAAATGAGTTGGCAAACTAATGAGGAGCAAACCACTTTGAACTGGGACTTGACAGATGGAAAATGAAGACATGATTTTGTGGGACAAGCAAAGAAATGATAATATGCAACAGGCTGAAGGTGGCAACAGTCCACGGGAAGATCTGTCTCTGTCTTTGCAATACCATGGAAGAGAAACAGGAGCAAAAATCATCCAAAAATTAAATAAAAAGTAAAAAAGCTGGGTTTCTTTTAGGATGGGAGAAAAAATTATAATTTCTTCTGCAAAAAAAATAAAAAAAGGTTCCCCGTTTGGACGACTGGCCGGCAAAACATTCCAACAAATGTAGGAGGAAAAAAATAAAATAAGACTCCCATCAAAAGACACAAGCCCCTTGTCCATCTCAACAAACCATTTTTACCGGGCCCCTCCAGAGGACAATTCAATCAAGACCTTTCGGTTGTCTCCCCTTATTATTCTGAATGGGACCTTATTGATTTCTGAGATCACAATCAACTGAGCGGGACACAGAGCGTTTCAGGTCGGTGGTGGAGGATCATTTCTGCCTCGGCGTGTTCTTCTTCCGTTTTCGCTTGAAGAAGCAGCAGCACCTGCGGACAGAGACACATTAAACCCATATGGAGATGAGAGGGGCTTCAGATGAAGCACAAAGAAAGAACAAACACGAGCGGGCTGCTTAAATTACAGCGTTGAATATCACAAGAACTGAAATAGAGTCTTTCAAATCTGGACAGATGTGTTTTTGGGATCATAATAGTGAGAACTGCAGCTGGCAAAGAGTTTGATTAGAACAAATCAAAGACTGCAGCAGTGAAGAAAATATTTCTCCTATGTAAAATAAAATGGAGCAGTGCACACAAAGAGCACAAGGTGAGCCTCAACGGCCAATTAGAACATACAAAGACAAAAACAGCTGTTGATCAAGACATAGGACAGTGACTGGGAACTCTTCCATTAATTCATTAACAATAAATAATGGTGCACCATGCACAAGAGTTTAAAGACCTTAAATCTGGAGCCAAATGTTCTGTGAAAGAGCGATATCTGATCCCCTATAAATATAGCAGGGGCTCATGAAAAAGGTGATTTAGTAAACCTATATCAAAGTCACTTGTTGATTCCTTCTGCACTGAGGGGAGGTCACGTTGTAATATTCCTGCTCACTTGACAGCACTGTTTACAGTATTCTTCACTTATCTGTCACTTTACAGCACTGGGCAGAAAAGAGCACAGACTTGATAATAGAGTAGAGAGTGGCACTATTATTGTACCAGTGAGAGTCTGGTTACAATAGTTAAAATAACAACTCCACTGGACCCCAGCCTACACTGTCCACTCCCTGTCCCATGAGTCTGATGTGGCCGAGCAGAGAGGGACTCACCACAGGTTGAGCATTTTCACGCAGCTACAGAAGAAGAAAGAGGAAAGGGTGTAAAGAGAAAAGAAAGATAGATTAATACAGCAAGACCAAGATGATGGGACTGGGCACATGCCACACAAACATGCACACACACAGACACAGACCAACGGGACTCCAGTGGACACAGAGAGGGGACGTTGGAGAGGTTAAAGGAGAAAAGATCTCAGAAAAAGTGACAGAACGTCTGCTCTGCAGATTTCCTGCCTATGAGGATGTTAGAGGATAAAGATAAGTGGTGTAGTGTGTATGCTACATTTGCTAAATAATGTGTATTTACCAACCTTTTAAAAACGACTTTGTCTGCATCCTGAATACAAAAAAATCAATTGCCCTTATGATTTAATTATCTATTTATTTCCAGTGTCTTTTTTCTTGTGTTTCTCAATGTCAAATATCAAATGCCTCTTTCTGTCTCCAAAATGGTTGGTGGACATCAATGAAAGTAAGTGCTTTCAACCATTCATAATCAATCCATCAGTAATATAGTTTGATAACTATTGATGATGTTTATTTGGAAGCACAATTAAAAGTCTTAGCTGGTCTTTAGTCCATGACTTTAGTCACTGTATTGTCAATCTGCTGTCCAATCAACAGCAATCAACTATGTAAACAGGAAGTCACTGTGTCACCACAAGCTGTAAAACCTGTCAAAAATAACAGTTTTGGGAAGAGCCAATTTATATTAAACATAATTGCCATACATTTGTAAATATAGGAATAACTTTGCTTTATTTAGATATACTTATATGGAGAAAAGCGAGTTTTCAGAGTTACTACTTTAAACAAATGCTATTTTTTGTAGATTATAGAATCACCAAAACCCAAAGTATATCCAACCTGATCCAGCACTAATCCCAAGACAGCTACGCCATTGGCATTAATTCACTCTACAAACATTATAATAACTCAAAATGCAAATCCTTAATTAAACTGTATCAGATGCATGATTTGCATTAATAACTTCATGTTTTTGTATCGGACACTGTCAACAAACACGCTGTTAATAATATCAAACAACCGCATGAATGGAGACAACAGGAGGAAGGCCTGTCATCTGGGCAGAAACAGAACGAGTGCAGATTTAAGTGAATGAACCTGTGGGAAATTCATGAGAACACTTTTTTTTTTAAAACAGTGGCTTCGATGGACTCAGATGGCAAAGATCTTTACTATGTATTATAGTAACTCCAACAAAGCTTGACATTTTCCTTTTCATTTGAAATACATTTCTCTCATTTTAAATGGTTAACTGGCTCACTGATAATATATTATAAAGCACCATTTTCAGCATGTGTAATTGTGACTATTTCCATAGTTTTAATAGCCAAATCTCTGTATGGTAGATTTTCTCTCTTGCACGGTTTGTTTGTACTTTTAACAAACACAAATCTGCCTTACTGTATTATCAAACAGCCTCTAATACAAACGGTGCCTTTTCACCTTTATTATAAATATATTTTTGTCTCAGAGATGACTTTCTTGGATCAGCTCTTCACAGTTGTACCCCGTGCACAGTTGGCAGCCAGCCATGCTGAAGACTAGGAACCATAGCAGTTTAGCTTCCAGCTCTGAGTTTCTTTCCCTCCATGTTTGCCTCAAAAGTGACTGATACGATGGCATCATTAGCATAATCTTTGTACATGTGACTAAGTTGCCACATGGACAATCTGGTGTGACATCAACTGGCTGCTTCCACAATACGCTCACAGAATCAGCTTGCATGGATCATCACTGACACTGTTAGACATGATGATCAACAGTGGAGTGTTTCTTTGAGAAGGTCATGCTGCTAAAAAGGGAGTGGCTGCCAGTGTAGTCTGTGTTGGGCTGCTCAGGCGACGGGTATGAGAGGTTAAACATAATCAACATAGTCTGTCTTAATATCTAATTAAGGAAACAGCGAAGAAACAGGCAGCAGTCAAGATCAGAAACTCGCACAAGCAGACAGAAGATGAGAGGAGAAGGATAACAGCTGAGGGGTGGGGGCTGTCACAATTCAACAGCTTAGCAGAGAGTGGTGAGAGACAGAGAGGAAGAGCGGGAGAGAAAGGAAGAGGCAGATGGACATATTGGAGAGATGTGGCGAGCGTATGACACATACTTGGCCTCGTCGACCACTTCCACCTCTGCCTGAGCTGTGATGGGAGCGTTGGAATGAACCGTCAGGGGTTCGTCTGCATTCAGCTCCCCGTTGGTCGAGCTGACCACCTGTGGCACAGACGCGTGTTACTTCAAAAACTCTAAAGGATGTTCAGGCCAGAACCAACGAAGAACTCGTCCTGCTGTGATGGAGACTTCCTCTGGATAAACACTACATTTAATGTTACTTTACCAAATCACTTTTATTGTTTATTATTTTGTTTTTGAAATCCACTTTCCAGTCTGTATGCCAGTATAGAGGAAAACTGTAAAAGTATAAACCCTTTGCAAAATCAAAAATACATGGATGAAAGATATGACACCAAACTGCCACCAGCGGACAAACTACAGTATGCAAAGCTATTGGTGGTTTCACCTGTAGAAGAAATGCATAATAATTATTTCAAAAATGTGTGTCTTTTGTGCATAGGTGTGCTCAGTGTACGCCTTTGTGATTCTCAGCTATTTGAAACCATTCAATTCCATTCATGATGCAAAAAATGTACAAAAATCTTCTGCTGAAGGAAGGACATTAAATTAGAGTGAATTTCATTTAGCAGAAAAGCCAGACATCTACTGTAGCCTGCACTGTACACACCTATGCAGACAGAACTTGTTGAAGACAGTCTTTGGTAATGGCTATAAGGCAAAAATAACACCAGAATGTTCCTTAATGTTCAATGACCCTCTTCAACTAAAGAGCATGCACTAAGTGGGTTGAGCCGGGTCGCCCTGCCATGCAAAAGAGGGCTTCTTGATCTGCAAGGAATGTCCAAGCGCAATGACCTGAGATCAAAATGCCACTACCAGGCCTGCTGTTCAAAAAGCTTCATCACATTTTCACCATCTGGGGTGGGTGGCACCAGATGACATGCATATGGTGGAGCAGAAAAAAATAACATTTCCCAGCCAGGGCTAAAGGGGGAGAGGAGGGGGGAGTTTATGGTTGGAGATCTGTCTCACATGCCAGGCTAAAATACAAAATAAACATTGTGTCCTGTTATTAACTGTTGTACATCCGCTTGTTAATCAGATATGGTCAAAGTAATTAGAAATACCTCATTTCAATCGCTCTTATGGAATCGAGTCGACAGGGCAAGTTTATGTATTCTGTATGACCTGGAGAGTATGTCTGAATGTCAGTCATTAACTGCAATCTGCCATAATAATGCAGAATCACTTTTTGTAAATGTTTCGGTAAACTTAAAAATAACTTTTTCATATTTTCTCAAACTGTCACTATATCCTGACAGTATGGCGCTAGAGAGATAATGTGTGAAAATATTTTATATTTCTCTCTTTCCCCCCATTAATACTAACGGCATTTGCCATTCCACAGCTCCAAAGTCTCTGACAAAAGTAGCACACAACTATGAACCTAAACAGCGCTGATCAAATACAGAACCAGATACTACATTTCTTGTCTGAAGTGCTTTCATATTTTAACAAAAGATTAAACTTTTTTAATGAACTTTTTGAGCTGGCTGCCATGATATAAACAATTGAGCCGAAACCAATCACCGTCCACTGGAGCTTTGTTTAATCAAATGAGGTTCAATATGATTGACACAGCGTAACAGACTCCTCGGCTCGGATTGGTTACCAGATCATTGTTCTCATATACTACAACCAGGATAAAGTAACAGTTTCAGGATATAGTAAAATATTCATTTTTTTTTTTTAAACAAGTCACCATCTTCAGCGTTGAAAAGGTTCAACACATATATAAGTGATGCAGCAAAGTGTTGCTAGGACTTTGACTTATTTATTTTAGATTAGATTCTATGAGACAGATCTGACTCCACAGAGATCGGGTGGGGGGTGTGGTTGATCAGGTGAGGGGTGTATACCTGCACTGAGCCCCCGTGCCTGTCCGCTGCCAGGTGGGAGGTCAGGTAGGAGGAGTTTGCTTGGCGTGTGGGCTGCACCTCCCATGCTCCTCGTCGGTCTGAGGCTGCTGTCTGCTCAGGGGCGTCGGTGATGTGAGGGGAAGTGGCATTGGGGGTGCGATGGTAGAGGGTGGGGGTGGTGATGGAATAATTGCGTTAGGAAAGATGAATATTTGGGTGTGCGAGGCCAGGTACCATGCAAAGCAGCATGAGAAATGGAGAACAAAAAATGTAACAAAATAAAAGTGAATAAAACTCAAAGCAACGCTTCAGCCAAAGAATTGAACCAGAAACTAATGAGCTCAAAGCCAAACGAGGGTAAGCTCTTAAACTTAAGCCTATATCCTTTTATTTTGAATACAAACTAAACCTATATTATCATTTCTTTTATGAGAAAAGTTGTTTGACGAGTTGTAATCAAATACACACATTCGTGTTTACACATGTGCAAAGGGGAACTGCAGTCCCTTAGAAATGCTGTAATTATTGCAATGATATATATTTAAAAAAAGAAATGCTTTACACTCATAGAGTATTACATTCTTTACAACTCATATACTTTAATTGTATTTAGTGATAACGATAACTTCCTGATAACGGCGGAATCCTGAGTATATAAGCTTATGCTTTACAGTTCCCCTAATCGCAGGTTAGATTAAAGGTCACCCTGAAACTAACACTTTATGGACATCTTTTCAATAGGGGGATATGTATGGTTGTCATTCATACATGTATACAAGATGTGATTGAACCCTTGATTTCACTCCAAAAAAAGGCAAAAAGGCGGGTGTACCTGGTTTCTAATGGGTGGGTGCGGTGTGGGCCGGTCTCTGTGAGGATGGGTCTCTCTCGTCACAGCAGAGGCTCCCGAGTCTATGTGGGTAGACCCCACTGGTGTGGGCTGAGGGGAAATATCACCAGTTAAATCCTGTTCATTCATTCATAGTTTGTCCAAATTAAAACGTGTCAGTTGTTTATGTGCGTTACTTACTATCGGCCTGCCAACCCAGTCGTAGGTGTAATCAAAGGTGTATCCCTTCCTCTCAAACAGTTCGGTGAACAGAGTCCGCAGATATTCATAGTCCGGCTTTTCAAAGAAGTCCAACCGTCTCACATATCGCAGGTAGGTGGCCATCTCCTCTGAATTAAAAAATAGAAGAATGGTTTAACCTTTTATATGGATATTACAATCCTAATAGTGAGATGACATTTAAAAACATTTTATCTGGAAACGTCCAGTAGTAAAAGGTTAAATCAGAGGCTATGCGATCATTTTCAAGCTTTTCAGCATGATCCATAAGTAAATCACATCCATCGTCAGTGTACCTGGGAAGTTCTCACAGAGGACCTCGATGGGAGTGTTTCGTTTGGTGTCTCCAATCTTCTGGTATCGCTCTTTCAATGTGTCTGCCTGCAGCGCAATCAAAACAAGAAGAAATTTGAACAAATTCTGATGTCTGACGAGCATTAATCAGAATTATATGACAATTCCTAATATAGACTGCTTAAAATACATCTTAAATCATTACTGTACAGATTAGTGGATTACACAAAAGGGACAATTTGTTTATTTCCAATTCATACTATCACTTCTTATTTCTCTTTTGTTGCAGCAAAAACACTAATTTTATTTTTATATTTACATTGTCTCATTTACTCGATTTGGACTAAGACAAACTGCCTGAAAGCTGATTCTAAAATTGTTCATAACCAACTTCAATTAAAACAACATTGGTGCTCTGACGGTTGCAGACCAGATCACTTCAGCTCTCAGATGTGTAAATGCTTTTCTAAAAAGGATAATACTGATTTTGAAACACTTCCATGTACTTGGCATACCTTCAGTCCTTGCCATGGTAGGCTCCCACGAAGGAAATACATGAACATGTGGCCTAAGGCCTCCAGGTCATCTCGCCGGCTTTGCTCTATATCAATAGATTTGATAACATTTCACTGAGAAACTTCAAGAAATAACCACAAACCACATTGCATAATAAACATGTTAGACAACTACAGAATTAAAACTAAAACAAAGCTAGTCTTACCTTTGCCTAAATGTGTATTGATGGACATATATCGGGCAGTGCCAGTCAGGCTCTTATGCTCCCTGTATGGAATGTGTTTTTTGGTCTCGGGGTCGATGTACTCTTTGGCCAGACCAAAGTCAATGATGTGGATGATGTTTTCCTTTTTATTCCCTTGCCGTCCGATGAGAAAGTTTTCAGGTTTTACATCTCTATAGATGAGGTTTTTAGAGTGCACATACTCCATTCGAGAAATCTGATGGGAGAGAATACAGCAGTCAGCAAAATCAACATTTACAAAAATCAGATATAATCACAATCCAGGACACAAAGTCAGCAGAGCGGGAGGCAACAGGTCACAATCACTCAAAACTGACATTTCAATGAAAGTCCACTGCTGCGGTGTGTCAGTCTTATCAAGAACATAGTATTTCTTATCGAATCCATGTCTGCATTATTACACATTAATGGTGCATACCACCAATTCACTCATGAAGATCAGTTTATTAGTCATTGTTTTATACGCAGCCTGTAGTAAATGCCTCTGTGGTTTTGTCAGGGAGACTTGGAGACTAACAATGTATGACAGAAACATCAACTTTTAAAAAAGGCATGAGGGTATTCTCATTAGGCAATGTTTAATGAAAAATGCAATTGAGTTGCATTATGGGAAATCCAGAATTCAGTGTTTTACCCATACCCATAAAAACAAAAGACATACATTCTTGGTCTGTGCGACATCAATTTTTACTGTTAGTTTTTCTGTCTCTAAATAGTGTCTTTCTTTATGAAAGGTATATGGCAGGGCTATTCAATTGGCGGCCCGCGGGCCAAATCCGGCCCCGGGGCGATATTTACTGGCCCTTTGAGTATAATGTTAAAAAGTCATGAATTTTTTTTTTTTAAGATTTTTTTTTTTTTTTTGTGTCATAGTGCCTTTATTCCAGAGAGGGTGTTACATTGAGAGATAGAGGGGTAGACAATGCCTGAAAACTTCGACGGGCTCGGGTTTCGAACCCACCTACTATACTGTAGTGACAACTCCTGTCATTGATTGCATCTCTGCGTGAATGATTAGATAATTTCACCTAAATGAAATCAAATGAAACATGTAGGCCTACTGAGTTCTGAACTTGCCATTTAGATCTATAAAGGCCTTGGGGCTATGTTGTTTGATTGAATTAAACACAATATATGCACTCCACTATGCTGTTGTAGTATTTACTGTATCTGAAGCTCTTAAATATGATTGCTCATATTTCAAGCCATCTTTTTCCCGGCCCCTTGCTTTGGATCATTTTCATCAACCGGCCCCCATTCCAAACTAATTGAATAGCCCTGGTATATGGTAATGCCAGAGCAGCCCTTGGAAGACATAAAGACATGCTGAAAGACACGAACCTTATAACCAAAAACAAAACGGCCACAGAACAAATTATTTTTATGAAATCCCTGACGTTACAAAATTGTGAGCTGGGTCGAAAAATGATAATTTATCATGAATGTTTTACAATTAATCAATGAACGCTTTAGTCCATTAAATGTCTCAAAGGTGACAAATCATCTACAAAGTAGTCAATTAATTTATGCTGATTCACCAATGATTCATTTACTCACTGCTTGAGCACTTTGCTGCACAGCTCCAGCAGTGAGCCATTAAAGACCATTATGCAATAGGATCTTATGAGCCGGGCCAGGGCAGTACATCCTTCACCACCCTTCGTCAGATCAAGGTCATCTTCGAACTCGGCATACATTTTGATCTCAACTACAGTTCTGTAAAGTTTCATGACTGCATCTTGCAGGGTTGAGACGCCATGACAACATCTTCCTACAGACAGATTTATAAAACACATTACGAAGTACTAAAAGCTTATGTGGTAGTTCCCACAACAGAAGGTGTCTCCGGGAGCACATTTTGCCCTGGTGATACACACACAGACTCCCAAGATGAAAACAATACCAGCCTCACTGCCGTGGCTGGTAATTACTATCCCACAACAAAAGCCTCTCTTGATGTGGAGCCAGAATTTCAAGCCACTAGCTGAGATGTGAAACCTTCCTGCTAGGACTTCTAAAGCACAAGGCATCAAGATCAAAACAACGTGTTTGTAGATTTAAATCTTAACAAAGCGCTCAGAGCAGTTACCATCCATAAAAAAAGGAAATTGTGTAGGAGAACGGGCTCACAGCACTTAGGCCACGTTTACACAGAGACGAAAACGAAAACGAACCTTAGTCGATATCAAAAAAGTCTTCCATCCTCACGGAATCGGCTCAAGAAACGTGTCCGTCCACACGAGACCGCTCTACCCGCTGGAGGCGCTGTAGTACATATGCCGGGCCTGTAAGTGATGCTGTACTTCCGCCACAAAATACACCAAAAGCAGCGAATAAGACCTCCCGAGCATGGTTGCCATGGTTGCCCTTCTGTTTATTCTCCGCGTGGATTTAGCAACATGTAGTTCATGTAGTTCTCCATGTCCACTTGTTGCGGTAGAGGAGCTGTAGATTTTGCACTAACATCTGTAGCATGGTCAGTAGCGTCTGGAGCACGAAAGCAACCCTGTGATCTGCCATTGTTGTTGTTGTTGGTGAAACACATCAGCAATGACGCGGGTGACGCGGGGGTGAGCAGCAGAGGTGGGGAGAGGCGGGGCTATGGCTTCATCGTTATCAGGAAATGATCGTATTGGACGTACACACGGAGCCGTTTGGCCCCCCCAGAGCGTTTCGTCCGCAGATCTACCCACCATGGGAGACGTTATCGTTTGAGGGCTCCGTTTCCGCGGTTCCGTTACGGCCTCGTGTGGACGAACCGTCCATACGATAGCGAACTGTAGCGGATAACACCCGTTTCGTCTCCGTGTAAACGTGGCCTTATTGAGGGATTACTCAGTTCAGCCAAAAAATAAAGAGGAAGACCTACGTGATAAATACAGAGGAGAGATTGGCTGAGATGCAGGCTTTGTGTGCAGTTTTGTAGACTTCCTTACGAATTTGCAGGGGATATCTTCATTACAAGAGCACTGCAGATTTTATGCTGACAAAATGAAATGCTAGAGAATCTCAGATGTCTGAGGCGTCTAAAACTCTGAGTAAAGCCAGCCTCTATCAGACACAATTTGTGCTCCATCTTGAGCGTGAATTTTCTGAAGATAGTTGAGTAAGTGTAAGAGTTGAGTTTCATAGTCTTAATAAGTTAGTGTAAGCTATTTAAAACATCTTACTGTGTAACATCTTTGAACTCACCAGCTGAATAGCTATCATTAAGACAGTCTTCAGTGAAAAGGTCCGGTCACAAAGGTCAAACAGGTCCTCTAGACTGGGGCCCAGCAGCTCCAGAACCATGGCGTTGTATTTCCCACAGGGCCCAAAGTAGAACACCTGGGGCACGCCTTCAGCTGAAACACAAGGAGAAAGCCATTAGACTTCAAAGAGAGTGGACAGAGCTGTACTTGTACATTTGTCTTCACAAGCTTTTATAGTTCAATCATGAGTTTGCAAGTGATGCACTGTTGAAGAAAAAACCATTAAGTAGATGATATACACAATCATTTGTTGTTGTCAGTTGTATAAACTAGTGGGGACTCTGAGGGTTGAAAAGAGTTTATTATTCCAGTCTCTCTTGACTAATGATATTTCTAAGTTCAGTCCAGGGTGAACCATAAGGGGCCTCAGACGGGTCAGAGAGGAGGGGGGACGCCACAAGGTTACTGAGGATAGGGAGCAGAGAAAGCTGCTAGGTAAACATTAACCTTAGAGTGAAATGCAGCACAGTCAGTGCCTGCAAATAAAACTGTGTCACTCCTCTACTGCAGGCTGAAAACTAATCTTTTCACTCCCTCATATAACATTCTCCCAACTGAATTATATCCTCTCTGTTCTTCTCACTGTAATTGCTCTAAATCCCTTCCATCTGTCACCTTGACCTTAGATCTTTACAGTGCAGTGTGGGGTTGTGTGGTCAGTCTAATGCTATAATAATAATAATAATAATAAAAATAATAATAATAATAATTGGTCCTGGGCTCTGACCTATTACTCCTTTGTATTGGTCGTTTAATACTGGTGATCTGGAAATTAAATGTCCCTGTACAGTTACACTTCCAGATAAAGTGAGTGAGCTTTAAGCCTACAAGTATAATATAAAAGGGTGAAAAGGGTGTTGTTTTACCTTTTCTCTTATTCCTACAGTTTTTACATTTTTGATTATAAAAAGCACACAAAGGGCTTTCTGTCTTTCTGCTTTGTAGAGGCTCACCATCCAGCACACAGTGTGAAATTATGTGTATTATAATCTAATGATTTGTAGGATTTCAAGTTTTATGCACATCCAATTCCTTAACGTTAATAATAATTTGTAATTAGTGATATCTGTATTCTTTGTCGTTTTCATGACCACATCCTGAACTTTGTTTCAAAAACAGGAAATCAGGTCAAACTGTTAATTGCCTTATGGGGGAGCAGGATTTAAAGTTTGCCCCTGCTTATTGCTGAGTCCCATTAAAGTGGGCGCTTCAATCATACAGACCTTGTTTTATCAGACTGCTTAAACTCAGCTCAGTCCTTGAAAATATTATAATTGCATGAAAGTTAGAAGAAGGGACTTCCTGATTGCTTTTCATGTCCCTGTTCCTCAAGCCATTCTTTTAATATTGAGTATCAGCAGATTTCGAAATGAAAATAACTAATTGAGAGATAAAGCTAGTGCTACCTTGAGATCTGCACTATCTGGGTGCCATTTAGTTAGGGTTTGTTCTTGTGCTGATTTTTATCATTGATATTACCCTTAAGAAATGTCACATTAGACTAATTGAATATTCACCTTCGGTTGGAAATTGTGTAAAGGAAGTGCTCAAGAAACATGACCTTAATTGCTCGATTGTCGATGAGCCTGCCCTTGAACACATTTGGTCGAAAATAAATGACCATCAGAAACCGGCCAAAAGTCTTGACCCCTTGCAGCTTTCAACTTCTAACAGTCTGTGGTGGCTTGAACCCTGAGATCGCTGCTTTTAATACTAGAGTTAATACATTTTGTTTCCAACTAACACATTTACTTTATCTCAGTCTCTATTTCTTCAAACTTGATGATTTCTTTCTTCTGCAGATATACCTTTGCAACTTTTGGACAGCCTGCCATCTCACAATATATTGGTTTTATAATCAGTTCATTTATTTTTTGTGTGCCCAATGAAGGAGAAATTGTGTGCCACAATGAAGGGGACATTTCATTTCCTTGTTATTTTGTTGAGTAGTTGAAGCAAAGAATAAAACTCAGAAAGTGAATTCTTAACCCGTTTGAATGCGTTAAAGTATGTATCTTTATATATTAATGCTCCTGAGGGCATTCCACCCACAAGCTGGGTAATAGTTAATACACTGCAGTATAAACAGTGGCGTGAATGCTGTCAGCTAGCATATGGGCACGTAGGAGGCATGCTGTGCTCCATCTTGTGTTTCTGGACACCATTATGCAGTTCTGTGGGTTGCTAATTGTACCACAGGAATGAGTGCCTTGAAACCCCGGATGACTGTGGGAGGCCTGAAAATGTGGCAGATTGGAGATGTGCTGTAAGTAAGTTGGTTCAATTGAAAACAAGGTTGGTCAAGCTTTTAACTAGCAAAGGGTGTCCAGGGATCACCCAACAACTGTTCTGAAAATACATCTCATCTTTAATTGTACAAGAAGACTTGGAGCTACCACTTTTGTAGGGATCACTTTTGACTTTCATCTATTTACTATATATAATATTATAATATAAATAATGGGAGGAATTCCTATTTAGTATAGTGTAGTTCTGACTTTGTCTTTAAGACATTTCTACAGTGTAATATAAAAGTATTTCATAAGTCACAGCAGCAGGTCTCTGATTAGAAAATAATAAAACATCAGAAAATCCCTGCAACAAAGGTTTTACGTGGGCTTTCACAAATGTATCAGTTCTGTCAGCTGTTGAATAAAAAAAGTCTATCTCGTAGGATAGAAGAAAGATTTTTAATGCATTACTGTAATCCGATCGAGGCACTGGCTTTAGTCCTTTACAACAAAAAGGGGAACAAGTTGAATGTGCGATGAATGAATATGACTATTTTGGTTTTAAGCCCAACTGAATGGCACTAGCTCAAATCTCCCATGACTGTGTGCTTTTTTTCACCCAGCTGTCAATGACTATAACTTCATCTAGACTCCACGAAAACAGACCTGACCTTCAATCAGGGTATATGCAGGAATCCTGAAGTCAAATGCAAGACCTTTTAAGAGCTTTTTTAAGACCCTTTCCATACATTTTAAGACCTCATCGCCACTTGGAGTTTTAACCGGTTACCTTGGCGACACACTTTACCTCACATTTACTATATACAGTATTGATTGTCCTTCCTCCTTATCTTCCAACCATTTGGACGCAAACTTGCATTTCCCCATAACGATGTTGTTTAACAACCGGCGTAAACGGACCTCCGCGCGCTATCAAGCAGTGAGCGTGCGATGTCCTGTTCAGATGACGTCTGAACAGGATGCCATAAATAAACTACACAGAATCACACTACACACCTACGCAATGATTACATTCAGGCAGACTGTAGAATACAACCTCTTTGGACAATTTATATACTTATTGAAAAGAAGCTACAAAATGTAATACCTTGGAAAATGTTTTTTAATACTTTTTAATAGCCTTAATTTTCGCTAAATTGATTTATCAACTTTTAATACTTTTTAAGACCTCGCGGACACCCTGTCAATGTTTTATTGTGACTGTCTGGTGGTAGTAGTTCTGTTATCAATATTTAACCAACCAAGTTAAGTTTAAGCATAAACTTATTTATATTTGATTCCTTCATGAAAGTAGGCACCATCAAATGCCTTTAAAACAACAACAACAACAACACAAATGATACTGGGATTACTGTGTAGAGCCTGTCTTTGTGGAGTTTGCATGTTCTCCTCGTGCCTGTGTGGGTTTCCTCCCACAGTCCAAAGAAATGCAGGTTAGGTGAATTCGTGACTCTAAATTAAACTGTAGGTGTGAATTAGTTTTTCTTTATATATATATATAAATATATATATATATATATATATATATATAATGTGCATACTAGTATGTGTGTCAGTCTAGCAATAGTTTAGAGATAGCTGAATAGATGGATTTTTGCAATGTAGATTTATGACAGGTATGTGAATACATGTGTGTATTAAAGAAGTAGTATAAGGAGACAGACGAGATCTTCATGGTTCTGAGATGGCTCTTCAGAAAGCTTCAACTTTTGAGGATTTGAGCCGGCTTTCTGACATACGTATTTGCTGGCACGCTTACATTTTCTGGCTGCTTTGCAAAACTGCACTGCATAACTGTGACCACAAGTAGCTGTCAGGCCTTTAAACAAAAACAAATCAACATTTTTAATGAAAAAGCTACTCTAATGTGCAATCCTTTATAACATGTAGAAAGACTACTACAGTACACGGCTGGTTTGTCTTTGATTTTCAAATGCTCACTGGGATTTTTTAAAGATATACAGAATACATTTCTTGAGTGCTCATAAATCACTGGCCGCGTTGCAAAGGTGAATTATTACATTACCTTACACAGTATTCATCTAGATAAAGTTGAATTATTAAATGTCACATTGCTAAAAACAAATTCATACTGTATTTATTTACATCCCTGTTTCTGCAGTTGTTATAATCTTTAAGATACATTTCTTAACATATTTTCTGAAAAACAGTGCCATGAGAGAAGTTCTATTCTTAACAATTATTGATGTGCTGCTGGCCTTTTCTTTACATGTCTGCAAAATCTAGTACGCCTTGTCACTGTGGGAAATGTTTACTCTTTGGGATTGCAATGGTCACAGAGCTGGTGTAGTGTTTCATCATGACCAGCTCTGACTGCCAATTCTTTTCACAGCTCAATAGTGGCCGCCCACCCTTGAACAAAACCCTCTTGATCTTCAAAACCATCTTGTGTCCTCGGCTAAATAAGGCCTCAGTCTGTGAGCTTGTAAAACCAAAGTAGCTTGAAGCTGTTATTGACTGCAATGATAAATATCATATCATCATATCTGGAAGGAAAATCCTAATTCCTAATTGAATCGTCCTCATTAAAACCAGTGACAGTTGGTTATGCACTGGATACGACACCTGATTGAACATCTGAGTCGAACCACATTTATTCATAAAGCCCCTGTCGCACAGACACTGGGACAACCACATTGGCTGGGAGGAATGTGGCACAACACACAGCCAAGAAGAAATGAGGTCACATCATCCCATCTGGAGGCGAGGACAGAGGCAGGTTAGTACTAAGAGAGGCAGACCCACTCTCTAAATATTTAATGAGTTTCCGCACAGTTGGCCTTTTCCAGCCCTTGCCTTTGCAAAACAATAGCCATTATATTCCCAGTCTGGTTATCATATAAATGCGTGTAGCGATCCAAAAAGAACATCAAGGACCATAAATCACAAAAATGTGCCTTTTATCTTCCATGCCAAAATGTGACTGACCATCCCTAAACTGTATCACTGTGATTAAACAATGTTCTTTAGAAATTCACAAGCAACATGATCATCAATCACTAGCACCACTCTAGGTGTATCCAAGTGACAATCAGGGCAATGCTTACATTATTATTTAACCACTTCACCAGAAGAGCAACGCAAAACTATTACAAAAAAATGTCTATTGTTCCATGGTTTCTAGCGTTCACACCCATTTCCTCTTGTACCATGTGAAAAAAGTTTCCCCTAATTTATTTCTCCCTTGTATTCATTTCATCCTCACAAGGTTCCTGTCAGTAACAGTGATGCATCATCAGACCTTGACTAATCTTTTATGACAAACTGATAAACTCTCAGGGGAGCAATGTTAAGGGAAGACAAGTCTATGGAGCAGCTTGTATTGTATTGTTTTTCATTCTGAACACAGAATAACAAACCGTTGAGGGCACGGCTCCAACAAAATAACAATATATCTGTAAAAAGACAAGCAGTTATGTCAGTGTTTGTACTGTAATTGTAGACATCACTACTCGACCCCATTTCCACATCAGACAGTGCAGGGGAACAACTGTTGCAATGACCGTTATGTTTGAAAAAAACATAAAACCTTAGAACAATGATTAAAATAAATATGTAATGGATTTCAGGATTTACCGTTACAGATAAAGCCTCAAGATCTAAATGTTTATATTTTAGACATTCAGGTTGAAGTTGTTTTGGCATGACTAATCGAACCAAAACCAATAAAGAGCACCGAATACAGACTGGTATTGCACTAAAATGGAAATAACAGGCATTGATATTAGCTAAAGTGACCACGAATATATTAGGCAACTGATATCTGCAACATTTTATGGCATGCATATTAAATATAATATGTTGATGTCATGTGTATTAGTGTCAACCTTTGACCACATCATTTAGCCTCATGCAATGACAGCAGTTTGAAGTCATCAGTTCCCGGATGTTTTAACAAGACGAAGGCTAATCACATAAGTGAATTCCTTTGCTACACGCAGCAAAGTGACACCATACTGTATAGGCCTGCTTCAGACTCAAATCAATATACTGAGATGGGTCAAATGACTATGTGTAATGTGAAAGGGCTCATTCTTAGTGACGAAACTTCAGAGAATCATTAAATGCTGGTTAAATATTCATGTTGCTCTAGATTTCCACCACTTACCAGGCTAAAAGATCATTGTGATCTAGTAGCTGGTATAATATAAAAATCCACTTGCCATTTGGCTGGGAGACAGAAAATGTCAGCACCTAACTGCACATGATGGAAATGCAAATTGGAATGTGCAATAGAGACATCTAGGTCTTAGATTAGTCCCTCTGGTTCCATAGTTCATGGAACCTTTTGTCAAAATGGACAAAGTTACCAACTAGCTAGATAAATCCATCGAGAGTTGGGGATGACCAAAAAACCGAGCTACATGGAGAGTGACGCACCAGGTGTCGATGAATGAATGATAATGTTGCTGTGTAACTGCTGAATGTGTAAATAAGCAACTGTTTGCTCACAAGTTTGCCAATCGTCAACCTAATACAGTATTAATATGTCAGTGTAAAAACATTGATTTGCCTATATTTTAAATGTAGTTGTTCATTATGTACATATAAACATGTTCCAACACATGAAGACTGGACCCATGCAGACCCAAGCTGAGTCCACAAATAATTCAAAAGATGTTTACGTTATCTTCAGCACACATGTGTCTGCGGTCGACAGCACACCACTAATATACAGCCCTGGAAATGATTGACCTTCTCAAATAGTGTGCAATTCTTTCTGCTATATAACAATAAGGAAGTGTTTCAGTGAATCATCAGCTGCTGCATCTGTTTGGTGTATGAATAAGACTCTTTATGTCACCATCTTTCATAATGAACTGCAAGGTAACTGTTCAACATGATCTAAGCACATTGGCATCGATGCACTCATGTACACAAAGTCCTGGAGATTAAAATAAATTGCTGACGCAGCTTAATATCAATACGTAACCTGAGCGGAGTAAGCACATGTTTTGGAAATGATGTAATCTTCTTGATCTGCTGATCTTCCAAAACAGTCAAATCATTGCCATACAGCCACACCAAAACACCAGGAGGGGTTGGAAAGATTATCCGTGACCTTACCTGTAGTTCCCAGTGTTTTGTAGAACCGGTACTCTAGATGCAACTGTGGTGCCCTCGACTTCACTGGTTCCTGCACACATTCAAACCAGTACCAGGTTAATGAAAATAACCTTTAAAACTGGATTAAAACAATGACAAAACTGAAACAGAAAACAACATAGAATTCCTTTAAGAAGGGAGTGAAATTGTTTTGATGACTGATCTTTCACTTGATGGCTCATGAATTTAGGATGTACCAGGACAACTCTCTCGCCATGTAACACTAGCAGGTCTGCCAAACTAACTGGCACTAGCAGCACAAACATTGTCATGAATGCTGATTTGGGTGTCAGTTTTTCACAAGGGTCACCAGCCACTCTTTCTTCAACTAAAACTTCAAATATGTAAATAATCTGATTAACGATTAAAACTGTCAAATCAGTAATGTGTAAAAGGAGATGGCGGACTCCTCCACTATGCGAGTCACCCTAAAGAAAACTACCGTCAGTCTCCATTTTGCATGTTTTGGCCAAGCTTCTTCTAAACTCAAGTCTTTCTCCAAAGTTAAACACCACCAAAACATCCCATTTAGTCTGGTAAATATAATATTAAATACATACAATATTTTTTAATAATAATCTATTGAAAGATACCATTCAAAGTCACCTAGAAAAATGACTTGCCCCACCCAATTCTAAAACGTATCTCTAGTTCACTTATGCTGTAAAAAACATTCTCCAATATATAAAAGCACTGCATATGTGTCTGCTATTTGAGCAACTGGAAACTGTTTGACGTAGTAAACTAAATACTAGTGTATATACTGTTTTCACCACCCTCTGGTGAACAATAAATGCATGAGTCATGGTTTTTAGTCCAGCAGCCATGAGGAAGACAGACATCCTTAAGCATCTCATTCACATTTCTATCAAAGACCAAAATAGTCCAGTAAAACACCACTGACCTACCAGAGCAAAGCCTCAGATTTTCTGATAATCAACCCAAAGTGGCAATAGGTTAACCAAGTGCTTCATTATGCATCTATGAAACTGAATTTACTCTATCATTTTGCAAAGGAAAGAAAAGTGTGCACTTACCAGTTTAATAGCTACATACTCGTTGGTGTAGAGATTTTTACCTGAAATAAAAAGGAGAGATGGCTTAGAAGGCTTGATGGCTTTTAAAAATGAAGTACACCACTTACAGCTTTACAACTGCGTCAGCAGGGAATAAGCAACTCTGCAGGTGATTGTGTCTGGGTGACTGACGATTTTTGTGAGGTCTATATTACAGAAAATTGTCTAATTGTGTTCCTTTTTTTTTAAATTAAAAAAAGTGTGAATATACTCACTTTCCATGCAATTATACTTACAAATCTGAAAGTTCCATTTTTATCTAACTGTTTTAAGCGGTTTTGCTTAAATATATGGTCATTTTAGGAATTTCTTGCATTGTAGTGAGAGATGTATTTAGTCTACCCTGATTCATATAAATGGAGTTTGTTGAATACAAGATTTAGATTCAACTTACCAAGCTTCAATTCCCCAAAGTTTCCACAGCCGATCTTCTTGCCCACACGAAAGTTTGGCCCCACCATGAGAACTCCGGACGAGCTGGAGGAGCCGGATGGTCGGGACGAGTGTCCGCTGCGGCTTCCCTGGGAAACTTTAGTGCTCCTGGCGGGCCGCTCGCCATATTTATCTCTCTGTTGATCCATGGTGTGAGCAGCACAGGTCAGCAGGAGCCCGGAGTGATGTAGAAAAAGGCCTCCTGGGCCGGGCCCTCCACAGCCACAGCCCGGTCACTGGCAGTGCCTGGGTGGCACAGTGACTCTCATGAGACAAAACCTGGCACAGCTGACCGACACTCCTCCTGTCCTCACCTGGTCACCTCACAGTTGTTAGGACAGGCTGATCTCTGGCCTCAACATCTGTCACAGGAAGGAGAAGGTGAAAGACCTGGAAGGCACAACATGGGACAGAGAGAAGATATTAGCTCTCCACACACAGCACATGGAACATGGTAGTGTGGATCTAAGTGTTGTCTCCCATGTTAATCTGATAAAATCCTGAAAAAGAAAATTGGATTGAAGAACACATCATTTAGGCTGATCTTTTAGTGAGCTGAACAACTATCATAAGCATAACAATAGTAACCATACAATGACATCCCTAAAACTAGCAGCACATTGAAAACGCTGGCATTGCAAACATCAATTTAAAGTAGTTTCACACAGACACATTTTATCCAAATTGAGTTAACAAAAAACCTGCATCATTCCTGCCTTAACAATACAGTTAAATAAACCTGGAATTGAATCGGGCTTCAATGTTCAATAATAGTCAAATAAAGAGCTGTGCTCATCTCAGCAGAGTTCAGCCAGGGGGCAAATCCTGCAGTGCACAGACGAGTGAGGCACGGAGGGATGTAACACTGGCTAGACGTTAGATTTAAAAAATTGGGAAAAGGTTCCAGTTGCTCTTCTGAACTCTTACACAAGGTTTCAGTGTAAAATGTATATATTGGTAAGGAACAACAATGGAGTGACAAGTAATACTAAAGCTTTCCTAAGACATATTTAGAAAATGTTTTCCTTCATTTAACTTATCCCTAACATTGCAAGTTTAATTTATATTTGAAGGTCATGAGTCATATAATCTCTTACTGCAAGTACACAGGTCTAAATGAGGACAGCACTGGCTTACTGTAACACTGCTGCTGAGCTAAAGAGATAGTCATCCCAGTGGTCACAGAAAACACCAGTAAACAGTCTGAACATCAACACAAACCTTAAGTCATAGTTTGTGAGGATCATGAAGGCATCTTCACCACCCACAGCTAGAGCCTGGCAGACACTGTCAGCTGGGATTATTATGTAAATAATTATATAAAGCTACGACTGCTTAACTTGATGGACACTGGTCGGCTTTCGCCAAGCGCTCAAATCATTTGGAGTTAAACCAACCCCCTTTCTACCACTGACAAGAACCCTGCAGATATTAAATGATGTGACCATAAAACATTAGGCTGTTTATGATTTAGGAATCACTAAGAAAAAATATGTATGATGTTTATCAACTGCAGGCCTTTGGGGTCTCAATGCTGTCCGTAAACCAGGAGGAATTCCGGTTTCACACATTATTTACCCAAAGAAATGCATTTAAAAGTCTAATGTTTACCATTGAAAACAAAACCTTTTTCTTCTTTCAATAAAAAAGCCACTAATGATTTCATGACAATGCTGTAATTCCCGAACTTGGAAAGGCTGTTGCTGAAGTATTTGTGTGTGGGCTTCCGGATGAGTCATGCTCAGTATTGCCTGCACACATCTCAGCATCAAAGACAGCTAGTTTGCTCTCAAGGGCAACCGAGCACTGTTGCTATTACATAAAACCAGGAACAGAACAACACGGCTATAAAACAGGTCTGCAGCTACGACAAAAAGTGAGCTGTAACAATTTCCATTGTGCAAATAATCATTTGTGGGCCACGCTGGTCCGGTGTTTGGATTAGCTCAGCTCCTGATTGAAGACTAACTTTACACACAAACCCTGTTGGAGCAGGATTATAAACACACACTTACTGACGCTGCTGTTCAGCTTGGAGCCCACACCTTGTACAGATGCTAAACACAGCTTTTAACTTCCAATGTATACCAAGTTGTTATTACAATAATACGAGTGTAATGTGTCATTCTATTTGGGTGTGGGTATTTGTTTTTCAGAAGAGAGGCATGATTGATTCAAACTGCTCAGCAGACATTGTAGAGTCACGTTGTTGCTCATTAGTTATTTCCACTCATGTGCTTTTGTGTCTAAATAAAGAGAGATTTCCACATTTCCATTATAATTATACTAACATCTAGCATACACTTAAATCTTGTTTTGGGACACGAGGGTAGTTTTGAAGCAGCTAATGCAACACACAAGGCTGACATCAGGCCAGATTTACTCTGGTTCATTTGGGGCAAATTAAAAGCAAGCTTAACTTTAAAAAGTGTTTCCTTGTAAAATTGGAAAAGGTATGAGAATTATGACATTATAACCACATTACTAAACGGATGGTACAGTTTTTCTGCCTGTTTTATGCATTTGAAATACGAGTAGGACCACATCCACATTGTATTCTCAGACATGTTCAGACATGCCTAACCTGAGGATTAGGATGGGATAAAATGAGGACAAGAACTTAATTCAAACTATATAAGGCAAAACAATTCCAACCTTTAATTACAAGGAACAAATTCAGGCAACCCACTACATTTCCTGTGTTTTCTACAAATGGCTTCTTCAGTTTTGCAACATGGGGAATCCCCAGCCTCTATCCATGCGGAGGCGCAGTGTCTCATGATAAATGAGAATATGTTTGAGAATACACACCTTTTGGCATGCTTTAAAAAAGGGAATTTAGTTCTTCAGAAGGGGAACACATGAAACGATTTTACAAATTCAAATCCTATAACAGAGTGATCCTAATATTAACCCTTTGTTTGCCCTTCTTGTTCAACAAGACAGCATGCATAGCAGACAAATATCCAATTATATATTGGTTTTGTCAGACTTGCTTGAAATGTGTTCTGCAAATACTGCATTTTGCTATTATACAGTTACAGTACAGTACAAATGTGTACCGGTACATACATGCCTACAACTGTTTAAAGTCACTAATAACATCCCTATCAATAAACACATCCCTACTCATCCAGAAAAAAATAGAGCATGTTGGAGAAAAGATCAACGTTTTTTGGTGTTTGCTCAGTATTTTAAATGTCATATTCAATTTTCAAATTGGAAACTTCAGTTGTGTTTTTGCTTTAATAGAGATAAGTGTTAAATAGGTCTGCCTGTTTAGTGGTATACAGTTCCAATGGCACAGCCTGATGTTTGATATAGTGCTCATTTTCATAAAGACATTTTAGTTGACTCTGGCTTGGCCTGCATGCACTCTAAAAAAATAGTTTATGTTTAAATGAAATCCTGTAACGAAGGTGTTGGGTATTATTTTTTTCGAAATACTGTTTCAAAGCATACACATAAACAAAACTGTTAAGTTTCTGATCACTGGCATCAAGCCGAAGCAGCAAGGCTGACTGACCAAACGTGTCAAAATAGTTTCTCTAATGATCCAGATAATTAGAAACTAAACATTTAGAGAGTTCAGGGAGGTTGATGTAATTGGTTAATAGCTTGTTATAAAATTCAGCAATATTTACTTGTATATTTTATTCAGTAACACAATATGGTGGCATTGAAAGTGTTATAAAGACCTTGATTATAGAACACAAATGAGCCTACCAAAATATCTGGAAAAGCTAAATGCTTCTAGCTGAATACCATCAATTGAAATGACTAATCTGTTGACATTTTTGTTTCAATAATATAAAAAGGCACTGAGTAGAGTGATTAACCTTCAGTGGAAAGATCAGCCTGAGAGGGGGGCTGCCAATACTGAAGACCCCTACTGTGGCAGTGCCAGCTTACAGATGCCTCTCTCCCCTTTCAGCCAGCTCTTATCACCCATAGCTGGTGGTTATTTAGATTATCCAAGGTTTTCCTTGTCCATAAATTCATAGAAAACAAATACAATTTCCGCTGTTGTACGCACCACATACATGATTGCATTTTACTACCGTAGATTTTGTCTATGAATCTTACAAATGAAATATTATCAGATTATATCTTCGATTTTGTAAGGACAACTCATAGCTTGCTTCACTGAGGTAGTCTACTAGTATTAATATACTCCACACATTGTGAAGGACGAGCCATTGTCTACATCTTTGTCAAATCAATACCTGCAATAATATACTACCCGCAAAATCTGAAATGATTTAAACATGTTCAAAATAGACAAATGTTTTTAAACTAACTCACTAACGCTGCTACTATTATTATTTCAATACGGATATACCTAAGTTATACCCTGTGAAGAGTATGTTTTTTCATTTTAAAAGTTATATTTCATCATGTCATTTTAGATAAATGCAACACAGAAACTTCTTTATTATACCAGCCCTTCATTCAGTCAGACTCTTTTAAAGTGTGCCAACAATCATTTATCATGGATCCACAAAGCTCTACTTTGGACTAACGCCCAGCTAGTAACATATATATATCTCAATATAATGACTTCAAAAGGGGTTTACACTGCTCTCTTAAAGCACTGTGTTATTTAGCTGAATATGACCCCAACCATTTATTTTACCACATGAAGGGTAACTGAATACTCCAATGATTCAGTAATTAGCCACGTATGCAGGTGAGCAAGGAACATTTACATTGAAGGGTAGTGTATCTATTCATGTTAGTGTATGTTCCCAAGGTCCTTGTTTTAAAAGATTGATGAAGGATACCCTCAGTTCAAATTGCAAATGAGCAAAAATAGATGGATATTTGGATGGATATAGGCATTACAATCGTTGGAAATACCTTCAACCACAGAGAAGACATTAATAAACATTGTTTTTAGGGTTTTTAGTTTGAGGGTGTAGATGCTAAGAAGTAAAACATCAGTATGCTATAAACTGTGGTTAATTTCAACATATTAACCCAGTGAAATACACACTGAACATTTGTCCTATGAAAAACATTGCTGTGAATATAAAACCCTTCGAAAGGTTTCCTTAATATATCAAATTAGGAGGAATTTTAGATGGGGAAACATAGGACCATAAGACATACACTCATGTTTGACCACGAACATATTGGGAGGTACAATTTAACATCTGCACCACATCAAAATACCATCCACCAGACAGCTTACTGATAGGTTACAAAGCTGAGGAGGGGCCTTGGTTAATTAACTGTATAATCTGTGCCAGCCTGTCTTTACATCTGTTACCTTGCACTAAGAAGCAATGGTAACACTTTGTATGTGAGGAAGTGTTTTGCAGAGGCAGCTGAGGCTAATACAAAGATGATCGATCCCCTGTAAGTGGGCCCTCAAATCAAAACAAGGATGCGAGTTGGCAGTTGTACGTCTCATGGACAAAGCCTGACATTAGTGATGGTCACATCGATTAACTAACCGTTGCCCAGTTAGCTCTCCAGCTGCATGCCAAAAGAAAACCTGCACAAAGCTAGCGTTAACCAAACATCACATAGCCACAGTGCCTGCTTTGGTTAAACAATATTTTCATATTTTTAAAGAAATATCCTCATTATAATAATAATATTGGGTTAATGGAAACCAAATAAATGCTTGTTGTGAACGCCTTAGCTACCACGTACTGACGGCTAGGTGACAGCTGGACCGAGCGCAACAAGGAAATTAGCTCAGTTAGCAACGAAAATATTAGCTAACAACCAAAAGCTTAATATCAAATGTAGCTCCCCCCAAACAAAAACAGCGGGCTCACCTTCGCTGTTATAAATCCAGACGAGGACACGGCTTCTGTATATGTCACGCCTGAAGTGTGCAGAGCTGTCCGGAGCTTTATGTAAAGATTTCTCGGTGTTGTGACTGATGTTTCAGGCTAACAGCGGACTGTCGTTAGCGGCTCTCTCTTCGCTGCTCGTGAAAGGTTCGAGTACACCGGATGTACAAAAACGGCACCGCCCGCTTCAGCACGCACATGTCCGGGTCAGGAGTGGACTGATACAAGTCTGCTTAGTTATGATATATATTAGCCTACAGGATTTCCCCTACAAGATCCTGATAGGAAAACTTTGTCTATAAAGCACATTCTGAATTAATATTCCTTCAAAGGTCAAAGAAACTAATTTACTTTTGTTTTTCCCTGTTTTTGTTTTCCTTTTGGAAGCCAGAGGATTCATATTAGCTAACTGCATACCTGTGTTTTGGCAATAGTAGGCCACATGACAACAAGATCAAGTGCTTAAAAGGAAAAAAAGAAAACAGGGGAATTGTTTAATTTCATTTTCCTTCATACTTGATCAAATGGATCACGTAAAGAAATAAAGATGGAATTATAAGAATGGAAGTCTGAAGAAATTCACTTTTACTTGTATTGTTTTACCAGACATTTCTCCCATTTCAATTGTGGAAATTGGAGTTCATGTTTAACAACACACAATGTAGAACAAATTAATTTACATGTGTTTATGTTGAATGGCTTTTTGTTAAATATATATATATATATATATATATTCATGCATAACCAATATACATTACATATTTCCTGTTTTAGCGCAATCCCAATACGTTTTAGCAATTACTGCATTTTGTCACCATCAAGAAATGTACACTCCAAAAAGTTTCTACATACTGGGTGTCAATGGAATTGTAAATGTTATTTTTTTGCAAGAGGGTCTTTTCTGTTTCATAATTCCTCCATGCTACTTATGAAAAGGGAAATCCCACCAACAACACGAAAACATGAAACAACTGCCCAAAGCTTAACCAATCAGATTTATTTTGTACATCTACCTGTTTAATATTTCCAGGAAAATGTGTGTTCTAATGCAAAGTGGTTACAAAAATAAAGCACATTCTTACGTAAAGATGACATGAAAAAGAAACTACGCTTACAAATGCTGAATAAGAAAATAAGGACAATATCACTTGAATGTCTGTGCTTTTCTGTCATTGTTAAACCAAATGTATCAAAAAGATGTATGGTTAATAATAATATCTGACAGTAATTGTACGATTCAATTAAAGTACTGTACATGTATACATAGATGTCAATAGTCATTTACAGGCAGTAGACAATCTCTGCAACAGGTCCAGATGAGTTACTTTGGAGTGCTTTAAACTGGTGTGGAAGAAATCGATTAATCAACATGTTGTACATCATAGTAGAAAATACCAACAAAGCATTTTTGCATTATCTCAACCTTCACCCACTGTTACTTCTTTGTCATTTTGTAGCAACTCAGATTTTTTTTAATTCTATGCTCTAATATGTATTATGTGATACACTAACAATGTGCCAATATTCTTGGTAAATGACCTCGGTCATCAATAGTGGTATTTCATTTAAAAAACAGTTTTTCCAACTGTACAATGCATTGTAGTGCATCAAAACGTTATCCAACATGCATTCATAAACATAAGCTGTTATAGACTGGAATGACTTAAATACGTCTATCTTCTAATGTAAACTATAGACAATGTTACTATAGGGCAGTACCTCAGTGTCAACACCGGATTAAGCAAGAAACATAAATATATACTACGGCCAGGTTAATCTCCTGCTTTATACCATCTTTCAGTCAAGAACATAAACAAGGAATTATGCCAAAGAAATGTTGTGTAAATGCGGCAGCTTATTATATAAAAGACCTGTACAAGATAAGAGAATACACTATGGTTAAAAAGAAAAGAAATGGATGGAAGATTCTTGTGTTCGAAATTGTCCTCTCAGTTTGTGGTCAAGAGGTAAAGTGTTCAAAAAAGGCAGTTGGGGTCTTTTAAAAGGTCTCCCTCTTCGTTAAGCTATTGCCTCCGCCTCAGGCAGGAACGCCTCCCAAAACTTTACAATCTGGAATACAATATGGAAAAGAAGAATGAAAAGCCAGTTAAAATGTGTATTGAACACTCAATAGCTTTCAATAATACTAATTATAACAAGTATTTTAAAGTAGTAGTAATAACAATGATAATTGTAATGGTGACAACTTTGATGTGTTTTAGTTAAAGGAACACTTAAATAGACATGAATAAAATAAAGAGCACCGAGTAATGTTTACGTGATAAATAAAATACATGATATAGTTAAATGTTTACCCGTTGTTGAGACTGCAGCATTGCATCCAGATATTTCATTATCTGGCTCTTGAAGTCCTTGGCTTTTTCTTTCTGAAAAGAAAAGTTTCATATCTTAAGCTCCTTGACAATTGAAAACCCAGTTTCCAGCAGAACTATACTACTATTACTATTACAACTATACTATATTGTTGAGGCACTAGTTTTAATAATGTGCTTAATGATAGCCCTGATAAAGGCCTCTAGCTGAAACATGTCTCCTGATAGAGCTGTTCGTTAAGGGCCAATGGCCTACTTTGTTTTTGTAACTATTATAAAAACAAACATACCTCAAACCTGAGAACCTCCTTGCGTACAGTCATGCCAATCCTGTCAAAATCTTTCTCGTACTGAGTAACCCTAGACTCCCACTGAGAACAAACATAAGGAGAAAACAAGTATTAATATATTAATATTTTCAAGTATGCAATATTTACAACAACGCTGATATTATTATAACACATGATTCACTTTTGAAACAGTAAACAAATACATACAATTATAATGCCTACAGACGCCGATAAGACAGGGTGTCTTTATTTAAAAACTAAAATACGTACAATTTACACATTTTCCCTATTAATTTTCTTGGTTGACCAATTCATTAATCATTATTTTCTGTCTTTAAAATCTCAAGAAATAATGATTACATCAGCTTAACAGTTATGATAGGGTCTCATATTCCTTTCAGGTCAAATACTATGATCTTTAGCCTTATGATTTAGCATTTAAACCATTGTGAAAGGACTCAATACCGAGGGCCGGTGTTGGTGTAAAGCCTGAGGCGGGGTTCAGTGCCCCAGCAGCACTCTGTGTCTGTTACCTCAGTGATCTCTTCTTTGGCCTGCTGCAGTTTGTCTGGCTTGTTGGCCCACAGCAGCTTGGCCTCAGACTCTCTCTTCTTCTGGAGTGTGCTCTGAGACTCCTGCCATCGCTGCCACGCCCGCACACGATGGTCAAAACACCCCTGTGGACACCCAACACTTTATCATGACACTCACCAAACAGACAACAAGTAGCGGTACTTGTGGGTTATCTGTCGCAAGTTTTTTTTAGACTCTCTAAATACGCACTTTTTTTTTTTTTTTCAGACTCTCTAAAACCCTAACCCCTAGGATTAATGTTTGTTATTTTGAGAAATTAAAAAGTTCATGTGGAGGAGCCAGCTACCCGCTATAAAAAAGTGGCGACAGATAACCCACAAGTACCCAAGTAGCACTCTGTTGAAAATACTTCAAACTCACAGAGATGATTTTCATATCAGGCATTACAAACTGACACTTTTTCCTATTTTAATCCTGGGATTAGGAACTACTACTATACTACTCAGGCTTTCCTGCTACTGAAGAATCTCTATTTTATATTCCAAGTCCTGTAAAACTATTATTCTGCAGCTGTGAGATTACGCGCATAGCACCCATCAGGCGGATGTAGTCGGCCAGCAGTTCAGCAAAGATGAAGAAGTCGCTGGCTGCCTGCTCCTGATGCAGCTGCTCCATCTTGTCCTCCACCTCTGCCAGCTGGGACAGGGCCCGGGACAGGGCCGTGTTGTCCTCAGAGTTTCCCAGCATGGCCATACTTTTGGCAAATACTGCCGTGCTCCCACACAGCTCTGGGTTTGAAAAAGAAAAATATTCAGTCCGCCTGTTTCACCATTAAAGACCTGACAGCTGAACTGTACTGTTTCCTGAATTGAAACTGTTTGATAAAATAGACAAATGAAGAAAGACGGATGTAGCTCACCCTTCCTGTGGTTGACCAGGGAGTCGACCACGGCCTGCAGCTTCCTCAACTGCTGCTCCTCGTTTTCCATCTCCTGGAACTTGTCCTCAAACCACTGAGAAACACAGCCAAAATATCCCAATCAAACAACCTCATCATGTCTAGAATGGCAGGTTTGTCTGCCCTGCTATAATTTCAAGTTAAGCCATTGCAACAGCACAATAGTTTGTGAATATTGAGTACAATTCCAATACTATGGTAGAAAAATAAAATGCATGCACAACAGTCTCCTGAAAACACTCGGCCCAGGGTCCCCTTACAGTGTCAGACTCATTCATCTTGATGGTCATCTTGTTGACAGCATCCGATGCCTTATTGATCATTTTGAGGAAGCCAGCTCCACTCAGAGCCTGGGTGCTCACTGCTCTGGGTAACTGAAAACAAACACAGACAGGACTCCAAAGTCATTATCCAGCTAATTGCAACCCTACAGTCTATGATTTCAATATCAAATCTGTTTAGAACTTAAAGCACCTACCTCCTCTCTCTCCAAGAACTCACGGACATCAGGGTCCTGTAGTAACGATGGGTGAGACACTACTCTCTGAAGATATCTACAAAGGACAGTAGAAGATAAAGTGAGTAAGAAGTAGTGGTGACCTAAAACTCACACAAAAACATGTTTAAAAAAATGCCTAATATGATTATGATTTATTAAGCAACATCAATCATGCTTGACTTTTGCTTTAAACAAATAAATACATCAACATAAATTCACTGAAAAGCGTACATTTTAAGAGAAAGCTCTTGAGAATTACCCTAAAAAAACTCCAGTAGTTAACATATGTAGTATATGTACACAGAATGTAATTGAATACATCAGCATCATTTTCACTGATAACAGATCCAGCTCTCTGAGTATGGGTGCATCACTGTAATAACGTCACTGTATGAAACGTGTGGATCCTTGCCTCTCCAGAGCGCCTCTTCTTCTCTCCACAAACTCTACAGATGACGGGTCGTCCATTCCCACCTTCACTTTGGTCATTCCTGTTGGTCAAACCACAGTCACCAAAAGGCACAACAAAGTGCG